CTAGGTTAAAGCGTGAAATCGCCACCCCTGCCTAGGGTGACCACGTTCCTGCTAGCGAAATGCGGGACACGCAAAGGGGGGGGGGGGGGGGGAGGGGGGAGGGGGGAGGGGGGATTGGATGCGAGTGCAAGGCGAAGCACCGGCAACAACTGCAGGCGCGGCAAAGTGAAGAGAGATGAGGAAAGGACGCGATTGCAAAAGGGGAGCGCCGAGCCCACCGCGACGGGAAGCAAGTTGCCATTAAGCAGCAACCCACCCGCAGTTCGTGGCACAGTTTACGGAAAATCTGTTCGGTGTGGTGCGTAATGTGTAATTTTGGTTTCGAGTGGACGTGAGCATAGGCGATCTAAATGCTACACTTTTGGAAAATGCCAAAGAAATCGCTAGTTTGTTCCCTCATATCTGTTCTTACCTTGTGTACGGTGTCAATGTTCGTTGGCCTTTAGCACCGAGATCAATATTTAAAAGAAAGCATCTGCGCTTCTCTGCGCAGGTCAGATGGGTTTGCTTATTTTTATGGACGTCTCTTTATTTTTAAAACAGTATCCAAATTAATCGCGCCCTTTGATGCGCCGAATATGTGACGAAACTTTTTGTCTCCAGGTAAGTCCAAGATTTAAGGTGGAACTCTCGTAATTGTTTCGAAAACGTTCCTCGGGTCCGCTCTAAGTATCAATCTCCCCTTTGTGCACTCAATACGCAGGGCTGAAACGTTTGGTCATCCTTTTGATTCAATTTTCCTTCCTTCGCTTCGATCGGACTATGCTGTCGCCCTCTCCTCCGCCTCCGACGCAACATGGGATCTCACAAAATGTTGATGCTCTTTCCTTCGGCAGGTGTCGGAGACCGTGAGCGTCGAGCGAGTGTGTCTCGTCCTTGCCCCCGACCGCTTCCACCCATCGGCGGTTGCAGGGGTGGCCGACCACGCATCACGTGCGCCAACGTCCGCTGCCCTGGCCCCTGTTGCGAGGACGGCTGTGGAAAGCCCTACTGCCTGAGATCCCGCGGTTGAAACTTTTCTTCAGGTCTGCTTTCAAAGGTTGGTTCACTTCGCCGTTTGGTTTGCTTCACTCAAGCGACGCTCTGCACTGTGGTGTCTCGAAAGACGGCTCCCCGTTATGCCGTTTACGAAGCATTATCAACCCTGACTATAACCTAGTAAGGTTCGTTGCTGGGCTACTTGGTTCATCTTAGTTAAACATATAAAATACCGCAACAAAAGACAGGGACACAAAGAAAACAGGGCAAGCGCTTATAGTGCGTGGTCGGTTTGCTTCGTGTTCCTGTATCCCCCCCCCCCCCCCTATTCTATGTTTAACCGAAAATAACGTTTGTCTTTAGAAGTCTTTGTTATGACTTTTATAACAAATTTGACATCTGTCATAACCGTTGACTGTCTAATGGATGTCGTTTTAAGTGATGAGTGTGGAGAATCTTGCGTTCTAACTTTTGTGTTCCGTTCATAGGTTTGGGCGATGGACAAGCGGGTGAAAACGACGATTTCAGTGGCCTCGACACGTTTCGTATTGAGATACGGCTGCTACAGCGACGGATTCAGGAGCAGGTCTCGTGACAAGATATGCTGTAGCGGGCCCTTTAGACAATTTTTATATAGACCCAATAAAATGCAAATTCTCGCTTACACACCACGCGCTTTCTACCTATAGTCATTGTGAAACTATGAACGCTTACACACACAATAAAATTTTGAACGAAGGGGACAGGACTGTACAAACCACCTGCAAATATATATAGTAAAAAATAAATAAAAATGTATTTAGTACAAAATACAGCTAGCTCGTAAACACTTACTTTACCCGGGAAGTGAAACACAGCGTCTGCTGAGGTGCGATGCCGGAGCCACTGAGTGTAACTTCAGAGCAGATGGACTAAAGAAACGGTAAAAGTGCGGGTGCACACCAAAAAGTCTGTGTACGCGTTTCGTACGAACCGAGTAACACACCGGACGAAAATTCCCTAGCGTTGTTGAACCAATGAGGGTGTATTATGTAGAGAGCCTTTCGCAAACCTGTTAAACAATTTTATTGAACACAAACTGGGAGTTCCTGTGTTAATAGACCGATCTCCACAGCCAGTTTCACTACGCTGCCGCTGCCGCCACGCATCATGGGAGCTGTAGTCTTTCTGCGCGTGAGAACGTCGCTGAGGGTCTGCGCGAGCAGAGCACGAGGTGGCACGAGCTTAGTCGTGAACTGGCGCCAGCCTCCTATGAACTACAGTTATGGCGGCGTCACACATGCGTAGAACAGCAAAGGCCTGTTCACACATGCAGCGGAGCGCTCCAAGCATAGCGATGACCTTGCGCTAAGCGCGTGCTGACGGCAGCGTTCACCAGCTTTGTATCGCACCGCCAAAACTGTTGCTCGTGGCAGACGATAAGTAGCTGACGGCACGTGAGGAGCGCTACATCAGCGCTTCGCTGCATGTGAGAACCGGCCTTTAGTGAGATTGGTCTATTGAAGAACGCTTCGAAAATTGAGCGTTCAAGTTTCAGATCAAGGGAACGACGAAACTACAGGTGTGAATGCAAGAACCGTTCCCTGCTGTAGGTGTGGCTGCCTGGGGTGCTATCCCGGTCGTAAACAAGAAAGTGACGTAACGAGAACGTTGGAGCGGAGCCTCAAGCTAGAATGATTCTTGTTTGAGGCTCCGCCCCGACGTTCGGGTTCACACACGCGGTCAGCTAGAATCTCGAGATACCCCTACGTCGCAACGACGTGTCTACGCAGTTGGGGCGCAGAAATCGCGACCAACTCTATACTAACGACCACTCCACCCGAGCATTCCCTATGGAAGAGCCTGCACCCTGCTGAGGGCTGAAGCTCCTCTATCCTGGGAAAAGTGGTGCCATTCTTTGAACTAGCCGCCGCGCACACCATTACCCATGGTCGTCACGTGACATCTGGTTTTTGTTTTTGGACTTCCGGTCGCCATGAATTTCCCAAGAAGTTACTAGGCCGCAGCTGACGGGCTGCTGTGTCTGCAGGAAAATCGGCCGGAAAGCTTTTCAGTGTTTCCTCTGAAACGGAAAATAAACCTCGGAAGAAGATCTTTCTTCACCGAATCGGTCGAAAAGATTTCAACGGGACGGGAGCCGCAAAAATATGCGAGGTAGGTAGCTACAAGTGAGGTAGCTACAAGAAAACTTCCACGCAACGCACGTGACGGTCGATTCCCATCCCGCCAGCGTCTGATGAACCTGGCATTGAAGACGACAACGATGAAGGATCTCAGCGATGAAGCGACGCTGTGCTTAATCACACTCGTAGAAGAGTTTCCACAGCTTTGGTGCCTTTAAAACGACCAGTACCGCAACAACGGTATAAAATCAGGGCTCTAGAAACAAATTGTCAATGAAATGGAACGGCGCTACTCCCAGTATGGGCCTTACACGGAGAGTGGGTTCATTGAAGGCGGACTAATTAGTGTCGATTCCGTGTTGTATTTGACCGCTTATTGTTGTCTAATACTTTAGAGGGAGTGAGGGGCTTTTTTTAAAAAATAAGCGACGCATCTTCAGACGGGAGAAGGAAAAAATTACGAAGACGAAGAGCGGCCAAGCTGCGGAGTACACGTACAACGGTAGATGGAGGTTCTACCGCAGTCTCCTGTTCTTGGATTGGAGCAAACTTGTCCTTTCCCGGGAGTGCAACGAATGTTACCAACACAAGGATCCCAGTGGAGTGAGTAACGTTTGGCGGGTTCGTTTAACTTGATTTTTTCGGCATTTGTTTAACTTGATTTTTATACCTATCGAGCGAAACGTTGACGAGCGTTCGTTGATGGAGGTCACTGAATCCTATTAGCTTGGCTGACGTTCGAGTTCTGGCTTTGCTCTACACGCTTCAGCAATTTGTTTTGTTCGGGCTTCAGCATTTTGTTTCGTTCACTCGTGTTGATCACGGTTTCTTGAAGTGCTGGTAGTCTCTGGATGAAGCTGCGAGACACTATCTTAGGATTTGACAACCGGCGGCCCGCGGGCCGGGTCCTGGCCGCAATGCAGTTTCATTCAAATTTATTGAGTAAACTTTTTTTTAATTAAATTTTGTAAGTGAAATTGCCAACCGCCGGTGAGCCTTCGATGGGTCCGACCTGCTGCGTTTTTATAAAAAACAACTCTCGCTTCTTCCACAATACTACGGTTGTGACATCTACTCTTGGTCACGTAACCCATCGCCCGTCCTCCCTTCACTACTAAAACTATCTCTCTTTCTCTCTCTCTATTTCTCTCTCTTTTTATCTCTCCCTCATTGCTATGAACAGTAAATGGCAGGCACTTGCGATATTCTGCCGTGCAAGCGGGGGCTTTACATACAGTTCCTCTACAGTAATGCATTCGTATTTCTTTTACCTTTCCAGATGGACAGTGAGACAGAATTGGCGTCTGTTATGACCGAGATGAAGGAACCTGTCCTTGGCACACCTTCCACACACACACTGCGCGGAACAACGAGTCCCAGTGGGGAAGCGTCTGGCACTCCTGTGAAGCGCTCAAAGTGCGATGACGAAAAAAAAAAAAGAAACAGATGACTGCTCCATCTCTGGGTGGAAGGAGCGCACGGTTGCTTTCACTAAAACTGCGGAAAGTATTGCAACTGAAAAAAATTGCGACAGCGCTGATAATTTCGGAAGAGTAGTGGCGGGCCTCAGGAAAAACCTAAACGTAACCAATTTTATTGGGCGTCAGATAGAGGTATTGGAACTAGTCAAGCGTTACCTAGACCGACAGCAATAATAAATGTAATTCAACGAACCCAATTTAAACTAAAAAATGTTAATCCAAAATTAGCATTCCGCACTCATAAGTAAAGGGAATACTTGAAAACAAACAAATGCTTGTATCCTTTGCCGTTTGTACTTATTCCATTCGGACCTGGTGGCTGTTTTTGTTAAACTGGGGCGGGTGTGTTAGATAGCGAACCAATATTATAGCATGACGAAATAAAAAATAAGAAAACATTAAAGATTCTTTCAAGTTTATTTACATAAAATTGAACAATTAGAGCATAACACAAAAAGTTTTTGGTGGTCAGAGTGCCAGCACATGCATGAACGGTTGTTAAGTAAAGGAAGTAGCAATATACAGCTCATGAAATGGTATATTTGCTACTGCACTTGTCTGAACATGCAGATAAGGTTACATTTTGTTATTTATCCGCAGATTAAGGCCCGCCTGTTCCCTCTGCCACGCGACGGCGCCGTCGTCATTAAAGTATCTCAGTAGACGCTCACGCACATCTAGAGCTCTTGCCCCGGAGCGCCCTTTGCAACTTCGTAGCCCGAAGTAGATTGCCCTTTTTCGCTGGTGGTCCTCCCTCGACGCTTTAAAAAGCACAGGTGCAGCTCGCAAATAGTTGTGCAGCACACACGCCGCCTTGACGAATGAGGTGACCCTTCCTGGTTCGGCATCGATGGTCGTGTGCAAAAACCTAAAACGGTTTGCCAGAATGCCAAACGCATTTTCTGCTACCCGTCTGGCTCGGCTTAATCTGAAATAAAAAAAAGATAAATAAAACGATAAGAAATACGGTGTTTAGAAATGGCATGATGTAGGCAACACACCTGTAGTTAAATATAACCTTTTCTTCATCCAAATTTGTACCAGTGTACGGCTTCATTAAGTTTACAGACAAGGGGAAGGCGTCGTCTCCCACGATGACGGGTGGGACGCCGACCGGTCCAGGTCCTGAGATCGGCAGCCCGGCTGTTCCGTTCTCGATGGCATTCCGCAGTGGTGTCGTCCTCCAAATGCCTCCATCTCCATCAGACCCAGGTGCGCCAACATCAATGTACAAAAACCTGTTGTCTGCGTCCACAAGAGCAAAAAGCACGATACTGAAGGTCTTCTTGTAATTAAAATAAACAGATCCAGAGTTCGGAGGTTTGATAATTGTGACATGTTTTCCGTCCAGCGCTCCAATGCATTGCGGAAACTGCCATCTTTCGTAAAAGTTCTTCATTACTGCAAGCCACTCATCTTTCGTCCGCGGGGACACCAGATATTTTGGTCCCAGCATTTTGTAAATGGCGTCACAAGTTTCAACGAGGAACCCGTTGACGGCGCTGTGGCTAATGCGGAACTGCCTGCTTAAGGAATGTTGACTTTCGCCTGAAAATTCGCAAGAAAACAAGAAAAACGGCTAAGTCGCGCGTAGCTCTCAAATATGCTGAAACAAGGACAAAAGTCAGAAGAATAACCACACACCTGAAGCAAGAAACCGCAACGTCAGTTGAAGTTTGTCTTTGGCTGGAATGGCTGGACGCATTTCAGTGTCGAGTTTTTGGATGCACGATGCAATTGACGAGAGAATGTCAGCAAACTGGTTGGAGTCAACGCTCAGCAAGCGGCGGTACTCCACGGGGTCGCTCTCCAGAAGTTCTTGATAGAGTAGATTCTGTATACCGAGTTCCTTCTTGGACATCCATGTCTTAATCCATGGTTTTTTTGCGTCGGTATTAGGTGCTTCCGCGACTTCCTCATCCGCCATCATGAGGGCACAAGCCACAACAACTCGTGAAGCCTTGTTGGCCTCCATGTTCGAATCGAAAACAATTTCCCGTCGTTTTCTTTCTTTTTCTTTTCGGCTCCTCTTTTCACTAAGCGCAGGAATCCTCGAGCATCTTCCACAGCTGTAGCTCGTGCGTACTAATCGTACTGGAAAATGAGCAAAGGCCTATCCGTGCACGAGAACCGTGAGAGGCATATAAAAAAAAAAAAAAAAAAAAAAAGAAAACCGCTCGTGCAACGAAGTGTACCACGAGCACTTTCACGCAATCGGTTCCCGGGCTTGTCCGAGGACCACAGCGGACTCGAAAAAAGGCAGAATTGGATCGCTTTCAATACTTCTATAATCATGGTCCGGCAGGTCCGCGGACATATTCTGTGACGTTCGCCCACGTGATACGCAAGATATATCAGGTCCGAGGACACGTTTTTCAGGTCCGTGGACATGTCCCTTGGTTTTGCCTGCTGTTTTCGCAAGAAGAATGGCCGATTTTATACCCCGGAAAAGGTGACGTCACGCCTTTTGTAGGAACTTCTCCGCGGACGAAGTCCTTCGTGTGAATACACCATAAAGGGACCATGAAATGACTTTTTTACTTTTGCTAGATAACTTTTACATTAAACCGTCAATGTTCACTGAATGCCGAACAGACATCCGTTTTCGTCTCGGTTTATTAACTTCTACACACAAAAAAAATGAAATATCGACTTTTTCTTTCTCTCCAATTGACCGCAAAACAAGCTGCGGCATAATTTTTACGGTCGTGACGTGCCCTGTTTTTCGGAACCGGAACTTCTCTCGGCAGTAGGAGAATGGGAGCGTTAGCGGCAGTTGGCGGTGGCGATTTGGCTGTGTGCCGGTAGGTTTTAGTGCGCTGATGTCACCGATGTATTTTCTGAATCGGCGCCTCTCATCGCCACGATAGCCATGGACACATCGCAGCTGAGCGAGATTCGATTAGATATGTTGCACTACAGCCACAGCATGGGACTAGTCCCATACGCCGGTATGCCTGTTGGGAAGTGTGGCGAGTCTCCCGGTGAAGACTCCAGAAGTCAACCCAGCTGTCATTGTTGGTAAAAGGCGGCCCGTGTAAGTCGTTTGCAAAGTGACGTAGATAAAGACAAATGACCGCGGCGTTTTTCGCGGCCTCGGAGATGCAAGAGCGAGCCGACGTTAAAAAAGATACGTTTGAACTATGAGAGTGACAGCAAGAGCCACGTAAATAGCTGTTCACACTCGGAGCGGACACGCGCGTTTGATGGAAGTGCTCTATTCGCGCTGTTGGTAAGCGCTTCGGGACCGATCTTTTACGATTGCAACTCGATACTGACGCGACACTCGGCAAGGGAAGGTTGGACCGGCATTGCACGCAGCTCCCACGAACTGTTATAGCTCGACAGTGACGTGCAGTCGTGTCAGAATAAAAATGGCATACCAATAACAAAGTGTACATACCGTGTGACGAAGGTAATCCATACGGCGTTTATTTGAGCTCTATATCACACAAAACAAGAAGATAGAATCGACGACAGTCCCTTTTCGACGACAGTGTTCGTCAACACTGCCTCGGAAAATAAGGGGAAGAGATTTACCTGTCCACAAGGGTCGCGCGGGCATGTTCCATTCAGCGCGCCAGTCGGTCGTGGGCAGACGGTCTTGGCCAAGTACCGTCGAAGCAACGCTGCGCCGGAGTCGGAGTGCCTGCTCGGCCTATCTGCCGAGCTCGCATGGTCGCGGGTCGGTGAATTCGTGGCCGTTCTGGCTTTTCTCGGGTGTTTATGGATCCAGCGTTCTTGTTCATCGTGGTCTGTTTCAAATGCTTTTTTCTTGGTGCTTGAAGTCGGGACGCGCGAGAAGAACACGTAGAAAAACAAACGTTCCTTGATCGTCGACGTCGCGGCCGAGTAACTGAGCCCAACGCTGTCGGCCCGTCGGCCCTACCGCCCCTGCTTCGTTTACCACACGATATATGGCGCTTGGCTCTCAGCATTATCAAATTTGGCAGTTTTCGTCACATCTCTAATTATGCTACAAAATGTGGACCTGAATATTATTTAACAAAACTTTTAGGAAACATTCGCCGGCTATTTATTGTTTACGATCGCGGTGCTAGTGAGGTAGGCTCTTACCCAATAGGCGACGTGGATTTGGCTGACGTGCAGCGATTCCGCGGATTCATCGCAGTGAAAAGGCAAAGAGCGTTCAAAGGAAAAAAGGCGCAAAAGAGTCCAGTTTTCTTTTAAAAGTTCTATAGCGAATAATTTTTTTGGCTCCCTATTTTTATGTTTTTGTGTTTCTTTTCACACCTTTTACGACGTGCGGTGTATGAAATTCGATCTCAGAATCGTTTCATGGTCCCTTTAAATCGTTCAAACGGCCTGCTCCTGCTTGAGGCATCGGCGTCGCTCCCAATTACGGGTGCGTGCGGAGCACGCGCTCTAGTCAAATGTCGCGTACGTGCTCGCGTACCATACTTGGTTTCGCACAGATAGCTTGCAACGCTGCCGCAGCTGCGGACCCGAGCATTGGGCTGTATCTATACTCCGTTTCAATATAAGTGAGAGCGCAGCCAGTGCGACAAGCAGCAGTATGTTTTCTCTGGCGACGCTCTTACTGGGCGAGCGTGTATGCTTAACCCGCTCAAAATGCGTTCGCTCTCGTAGCGTCAATAGGGTCTCCTTAGCACGTAGCCTTATTGAAACCAAAAACGCAGGCAATTAAAACATTTGAGATCAACCCCATGCCGTGCCAGCCCAGCAGCTTTGACAGCGCAAACTTCACGTGCAGGTCTTGTGAGGCTAACCTAGGATCTGCAGAAACGGGCGTTTGAGGTGGCGTTACACGACGTGCTCTCGGCTAAAATTTGATTTCTTCAATCTATTACAGGACCACTTCAGTATCGACCAATTCAAAACACTAATCATGCAAAACGAAGGAGTGCAAAAAATTGAGGAAAGATGCTCTCCCAAATATTTCTTTTTTCGTTACCTTCAACCAAGAGAGTAAACCACCACAGCAAGGGAACTGGAAATGTAAATGGTATGTCCATCTCACAAAATATATATTTGATTTTCTTCAGTAAGACACGTTGCATCCGTTTTATGATACGAATTCGATGCACAAACTGATGATTTTGGAGGCCTCTTTTACAAAATGCAGTTCCATTTGTTTGTTTTGGTTGCCTCCCTAAAGTATTCAAGGCACCCCCAGCAAAACCTGAATAGTACACCATAAGGCAATGCCCACAGTACTGAAACATCCTCCGGACAGACTGCTGCAGCAACCGCAGCTGCTCTTTAGTTTGGCTGTCCGATTATGTTTCGCAGTCGACCGAGGCCTATCTACCACTAGTGCCATCTCTGTCCATTCTAGGAGTGTGTGTCCTCCCGAGGGCTCCCAGCAAGGTCCAAGCGGAGCTTTTCCCTCGGGGAAATTTGCCGCAGTGACCACAGCTGTTTGTGAGTTTGGCAGTCCGATACTCTTTCCAGGTCAACTGAGGCTCACCTACCACTTGTGCCGTCTTTGTTGATTCTATGCGAGTGTGCCCTCCTGATGCCCCCCAGCAAGTTCCAAGAGGTACTGTACCGAACCTAACTTTCCCAACTTCCCCAGAGCAGCCTGGATCGGCAACCCCCCTAGCTGCTGGTGAGTTTAGCACAATGATACTGTTTCCAGGTCGACCGAGGCACACCTACAACGACTGTTGTCTCTGTTCATTTATTCACTCTAGAAGTGTGTACCGTCCCATGGCTGCCCGAGCAAGGTCTGAGCAGCGCCCTACAGGCCCTTGCTTCTCCAGCTTGTCCTGGATAGATTGCCGCAGCAACAACTGATGATTTTTCATTTTCGACTGCTGTATATTTCTTGGCAGAGTGCAGACAGTTACACACTGTTACTGACATCCGATCGTATTATCTCACTACTAGCCACTTAACAAGACTAAAGTAATAATCTTTTTCTTTCTTTTTCAGGCCCACTGTTTACACTTGGTATCAGGCAGTGTCATGAATGCCAGTTTTTCTGGTGTACTGAGGAATAACAAAGAGCTACAAAAACAACTATATTCATTGCAGATAAAACTGATATTGAAGAAATGACAAAAGTATCAGTTAAAACGTGAAGAGAACAATTTACAATTTGGACTTAACCGCTTTCTCGTTGCAGATCAACTAAGGTGTCTCGAAAAGTTCACTATGAAATGGACTGCATGGAGTAAAGGGATCCTTAAGAAAGTTTTTAAGATTCATCTTTCTTGTGTTTCCTATGGTTTCAATGTGGTACTGGGGAATTGGGGTAGCTTTTGCCTGTAGAATGCACACTTCATTAGCATCTAGAGGACTTCAAGTTTGCGCCGGACATAATGCATAAGCTGGTGGATTTTTTAGCATACAAGTTGAGCCAAGCTTGCAGCATATAACACAGTCATGCATCCTTATCTTAAGTATGCATCTGAAGTCGGATACCTGCAGACTCACCTCATCAATCAGCCCAGTGTTCAACTCCATGTGGTTTGTACAATTTATTGTCTACCGGTGTACCGTACCAGTAACAGCATTAGAAGGTGTAAGGGCTTTAAAAGTATTTTATGACATGTAAAAGTGACTGCACCTGTCA